GGCCGATGAATATCACCTTTGCCTCTGGGCCAAAAAGAGTGTAAATACCACAGATTGTTATATATTTCATGCAGCTTTAGGAACAATCCAAATATGACCTTTTTTCTCCTGATAATTTATTTTATTTATTTTTATTTATTTATTTTATTTTGTCAAGCGATTATTAGATAATAGGTATAAGTATAAATATGGTTATGAATACATGAAGTGGATACATATAAGAAAAATAAAAAGAAACAATAGGACAGGGACAGTAGGCACGTTGGTGCGCTTATGCACGTCCCCTACAGACCTCTTAGGAAAGGGGTGAGGTCAATAGTAGACAGTCTAAGGTTAAAGTTTTTGGGGTTTGGGGAAGAAACCACAGAGTCAGGTAGAGTATTCCAGACATTGACCACTCTGTTGCTGAAATCGTATTTCCTGCAATCAAGTTTGGTGCGGTTTATTTTTAATGAAAAACATCAACATGATAAAGAATGGTCCATTCTCAAGTCCAAGATGTCAAATGATACAGATTCCTCTACATCAGTGGTCCCCAACCTTGGATCATTTTGTACCGGGCCGCAAAGAATGAAAGTAGGGCCTACTTTGCTTGGGCGCCACCATCTTGTTTCGACGGCGCTTGAGAAAGTGCTTCCAGGTGAGCTTGTTGGTCGTCGGTTGGAAAGCGGCGTTTGGGTGCTGAAGGAATCCTCGCACCTTAGTTTCATCGAAGAGGGGGGGGCGGCTTCGAACGAAGAGCTGTCCCGATGGCGGTGGAGTCTCATGTTACTCAGGAGGAGATTAAGAAAGAGCCCAAAAAGCCCAGGTACAAAGGAGGAGTTGAAGGTGGCGGGGAGAAGCGGGAAACGGCTGGCTGGCCGGTCGCTCGGCTCGCCTTGCCTTGGTCGTGCGTGCTGATGCCGGTACCGGTCCGTGGATCATTTTGTACCGGGCCACAAAGAATGAATAATCGTGAAACTGGTCCCTGGTACAAAAAAGGTTGGGGACCACTGCTCTACATTAAATTATAACCGTTAATTTAATTCATTTAAAGTTATGTAAGCTGCTGGGTTGTGTTTACTTATTTATTATAGCATTTTTCTGCCTCTCCTTCTACTCTATCATTTTAAACATCTCTTTGATGTGGCCTCACCCCATTTGAAGTGGGGCCTCCAATGTTAAACTTTGAGCAGGCCTCCCAGGCAACTCCCTTCCATAAAAACGGGTTGTGTTTGCCTTCCCCTTAGGTTTCCCTTTTCACGGAGTAATGCAACAGCAAGACAGAAATATGATTCACACCAGTGGTGGGATTCACAATTTTTTTTACTACTAGTTCTGTGGGCGTTGCTTAGTAGGCATGGTGTGCTGTGGCTTGGTGGGCGTGGCTTGGTGGGCATGGCAGGGGAAGGTTACTGCAAAATCCCCATTCCCTCCCACCCCACTAACCTGCTTTCCAGCTCCATTCTCCTGGGTAGGGTAACAAAAGAAGACCCAGCCGATCAGCTGGGACTCGGGAGGCAGAGCATAGATGGGGATGGGGCCAGTCAAAGGTGGTATTTGCCGGTTCTCCAAACTACTCAAAATTTCCACTAGCGGTTCTCCAAAACTGGTCAGAACCTGCTGAATACCATCTCTGAGTCACACACCTTGGATACATTTTTTCCTGCATCTTCTTTTTATTACAAGGTGCAGAGAACCTTCTTAAAAATCTGAGCTTCAGTCAATAAACACGAAAATCCTATTTCATGCAGGAATGCCACAAATGGTTGCCTTTTTTTTTTTCCAATTTTCTTTAGAGGTTAATCTGGTTTATTTTGGAGATTGATAACTCCAACCCATCCTTTAAAGGTCTATCCTCTTTCCTTGCTGATTTTCCTTTATAAAGTTATAGCCCAGGGATGCCCAACTCAATGCTGTCTGGGGAATTCTGGCAGTTGAAGTCCACAAGTCTTAAAATTGCCAAGGTTTGTGTGCATGTATTGCTTTTCTATTCTTGGGAAACAGACACATACATTTTATGTTGGTCTGATTTTTTTTTTTACATCTCAAAAACCTGGCATTTTATCAGGGTATGTAGACTTTTTATATTCACTGTACGATAGACTGATAAATATATAAATAGCTCTAGATAGTAACTAAACTTTATGCTTTATCTGCAGAAGTTTATGCTGTTGGCTTACTTTAAATGTAAAGAGCAAAGGTTAACTCGGCTACCAGCCAAACAGCCACTCCACTCTTAAAATAGTAGGTTTGTGTGCCTCATTTTTAGCTCTGTAAAATGTTCAAGGATATTTCCCTGGTGTTTTCTGTAATTCAGAGATGGGCCTCGTTGGTACAGTTTCCAGCTTGGAAGCAGGCAGCCCTGAAGGCTGTTTGCTCTCTGGGTTAACTTTTCTTTGCCTAAATACATAATTGTTTGAAGAGAGAACTGCTCTTTTTGGTCTTTTTTTATTGATTGCCCAAATCAATGTCCATCAGCGCTATTTGTGGGAATGGGAGCAACATGGGATGAAGAGTTAAATATATAGGTAGTCTTCTACTTAAGGGACCAGAGCTTCTATGGATAAACAAGGCAATTGTTAAGTGAGCCGTGGCCAATTTTATGACCTTTATGCCATGGTTAAGTGAATCAGTGAAGTTGTTAAGTAAATCATGCAATAATTTGGCTCCCACCACTGACTTTCCTAGTTGCTTGCAAATTGTGACCATGTTCCCCTGAGATGCTAATTGTACCTGTGATAAATATATGCCAGTTGTCTAATTTTGTCCATGTGACCATGGAGATTCTGCAATGTTTGTACCGTAAGTGTGAGGGCTAGTTGTAAGTAACTTCTTACAGAGCCAATGGTTGCTAAATGAATGATTATAAAGCAAGGACTCCCTATATTGGCTTCGGTTTTCTGATCAAGATGCCTCCACCAAAGAAGAACTTCCCTTTGCTTCCTTCTCATAAAATCATAGTTTTGGGGCTGAAATAGTTACAGGGTGGGGAGAAGGCAAGACTATTTTCTTCTGTGAGATTTCCTGCCCTAGTTTGGCGTCTGAACTACTACTCTCTGCCAATAAAAGGTGGGGGGGTTGTGTGGTAGGACAGCAAGTTAATCACACACTTCAGTGTGGTTGATCTTCTTGAACCATTTGGCAAAACAGAAATGGAACAAAGTGGGAAATTTGTCCTTGCTGCAGAGTGCACAGTGTTGCCAACTGATCTACAGTTGCGTTGCCCAATTCTCAGATTCCTGATTCATCTGGAGGGCATCTGGATTCCTGATTCATCTGGAGGTTAGTGGAGGTATATCTACAAGGAAACCCACTGGAGCCATTGGGCATGTCAAATACATTAGAAAAATCATTCACCCTGGTAAGCTTGGAGCCAACCTTCTCCAGAATTTAATGACTCAGACATCAGCAAAGGTATGTGGTGGGTAGAAATTGCACATCCCAGCTTAGATAATTTTCGTGCTTAGATTCTTACAATATAACTAGGCAACTGGCAGCACCTGGCCAACTTCACCTAGGTTTTGAAACTAAACAGGGTTTGCCCTGGTTTACTCTTGGATGGGAACCAATGGCACTAACCAACGACCAGAGTGCTCATATATTTAAAGAAGGAGGCAATGTTTAACCACTTCCATTGCATCACCCCAAAAATTGCATGGCATATTTACATAGATACCATCGTAGATTCGCATGGAAGAAGACAGATAACAAGACAGCGTGTCACAACATTACAGTACAAACTCCATTTCAAGTGTGGGCACGTTTGAAAGGTACAATGACCTCATAATACATTTCATTATTTTGATGCCTTCATGGTTCAGTTCAGTTCAAATGAGTATAAAGTTTTATTGAAGGCTCGAGCTCTCTGCAAGAATCTGAGCTACTAATGGTCAAGAGAAATTAGGTGAGTTAAGAAAGAATTCAAGCTGGATTGGACTTAGATCTCTTGCAGGCATGCAGTGATTCGTAGAGCTCTATTTTCACTGCCCAAGTGGGACAGAGTAGGCACCACAGGCCAGTCCTTCGCTGTTTCCAGGGCGGCTCTTTGGGCCAGATCTAAGCACCCCTTGGGCCCCTGGGCCTTGAGTTGGATACCCTGGTGTAGGGTCTCCTGCTTGTGCAGAGGGGTTGAACTAGGAGACCTACAAGATCCTTTCCAACTCTGTTAATCTGTTAATCTCTTACTTTTATGCCCGTGTGCATTGGATACAATACATTTCAAGCCAATCTCAGTTGCTAAATAGCATGTCTAATTTTAAGTTGGCCAGTTAATATGAAAAAATATCAATGCACACACATTTTAATAAACCATGGTTTGCTTTAACAAATCAAACACATTCACAGAGGCTCATAAAATCAAGCTGGTAGACTTGACTGCATAATCAAAGCCTCATCCTTTTTTTTAAAGAGGTAGTCCTCGATGATTCATTTAATGACCATTCAAATATGCAACAAAAAAAGTGACTTATGGCCTGTTTTTACACTTATGACTGTTGCAGCATCCCCACAGTCACCTGATCAAACTTTGGGTGCTTGGCACTGGCATGTATTTACAATAGTTGCAGCATCCCAAGGTCCTGGAATTGTCTTTACAACCTTCTTAGGGAGCTTATGACAAGCAAAGTCAAGGGAGGACAACCAGGGGTGGGATTCAAATTTTTTAACAACTGGTTCTGTGGGTGTGGCTTAGGTGGTGGGTGTTGGTTGGTGGTCATGTGACTGGCTGAACGTGGCTTGGTGGTCATGTTATTGGCTGGGCATGGCCAACTTAATGTCACTCACATCAAGGCACAAATCTTCTTGCCTGGCCTCATGACTGTGGGGATGCTGCAACAGTTGTAAGTGTGAAAAATGGTCATAAATCACTTTTTTCAGTGCCATTGTAACTTCGAATGGTCACACCACACAAGCAAAGTACCAGCAAAGGAGCAGAAAAAAAACTCCAGAGAAGTTCCAGAGACAGGAAGTCTAGTACTGCCAAGAAAGTAATAAGGGTTAACGGAGAGGTAGTTTCTGTAAGCAACACTAGAATGTTTCCTTCCTGTCTTCCTTACAGGATTAGGCCAGTAATTTCTTCTAACAATTGGTTCTCTGAACTGCTTAGAATGTGAACAAGCGGTTCTAGCGAAAAGGTGAGAACTGGTAGAATCCCACCCCTGAGGACAACTCTAGTGATTTGCTTAACAGCCATGGCCAAAAAGGTCATAAAATGAAGCACAACTCACTTAACATCTGTCTTGCTTAGCAACAGAAATGTTGGGTTCTCTTGTGGTTGTACATTAAGGAGTACATGTATGTGACAAAAATAGGGTCTCCTACTTGGGCAGGGGGTTGGACTAGATGACCTACAACAGTGGTGGCTAACCTCTTTGGGTTCCTGCGCCAAAAATTGTGTATGCTTTTGCACGCTCGCACTCATGTGCCAACACCCAGAAGACAATGCGCGCCCTCCCATGCTGCTAAGTATGCACGCGTAATCCCCCACCCCACCCCCACTTCCCCCTTATCTGCACTGTGCCTCACAGATGATTTTTGGCCATTTTGAGGCCTTTTTCGGCCTTCCAAAGGCTTGTGGAAGGATTCTGTAGGCTTTGCAGGCCGAAAACTAGCCTTGTTTCGTCACTTCCAGTATTTTCAGAAAAACAGGAAGTGATGAAACGGAGCTAGTTTTCGGCCTGCAAAGCCTTCAGAAGCCTTCCACAAGCCTTTGGGAGGCCGAAAAAGGCCTCAAACCGGCCAAAAATCAGCTGTGAGGCACACACATGTCCAGTGAAGTAAGTTTGCCTGCAGCTCGTGTGCTGGCACAAATGGTTCTTCGTGCCACCTGTGGCACGCGTGCCATAAGTTTGCCATCCCAGACCTACAAGGTCCCTTCCAACTCTGTTAATCTGTTAATAAAGGAGACAGACATTTGTACAGTGGTAGCTACAATTTTGAGTTTTTTGACGTGCATACATCCCTGCCATCATTAAATAAGGGCAATGAGCTGTAAAGGTTAATAGCCAATTCTCAGTAGATGAATCTGCACGGGATACTAATAAAGTCAAAGTCAAAGAAAGTGCTTAGCGTCATGTGTGAATCTAACCAAGAATAATGTTGATGTTGAATTCCAGAAGCTGAACGTAAATGATACTCATGCAGTTGTGTACATGTGGTCTTCCCATAAAGACAGAACAAACCATCTATTCTTTTGTCTCATTCCTATCCTGTAATTTAGCAAAGTAAACTTGAACTGGCAACGTTAAACTGTATTTCTGGTCTTTAAACACACCCACACCTACCCACACATATGCACTTGGGAGTGAGTCACTAGTCCTGAGCACAAGATACAAAGATGACCACAAGGTTGATGCAGCATCGACCCAGCATTTTTAACACTGCTACTCAAGCCCTTTCATTTGCTATTCCTTCTGCCAAGGAAAGTTTTCACAAGAGCTCCTCGGATGAGCATTAACAACTTTGGGGCTGATGCAGTATTCAAATTTTTTTTTTTTTTACTAGTGGTTCTGTTGGCGTGGCTTGGTGGGCGTGGTGTGGCTTGGTGGGCGTAGCAGGAGAAGGATACTGTAAAATCCCCATTTCAAGGGAAGAATATACTGCAAAATCTCTATTCCCTCCCCACCCCACTAACCTGCTTTCTAGCTCCTTTCTCCTGTGCAGGGCAACAAAAGAAGACCCAGCCGATCAGCTGGGACTTGGGAGGCAAAGAATAGATGGTGGCAGGGCCAACCAGAGGTAATATGTGCACGGCACTGAGTAAACCGGTGTTGGAGGTTATCACATGAGGGAAGGCCGCCATAATGGTTCACTCCAGCAAGGATCAAAGAAGAAGCAATACCATTTCCTTCTACTATCCTTGACAAAGTGAAGGTTTCTCTCCTCTCATTGGTCAAACAAAGGAAATCCCTTTACATCAAAACTTCACTTATAATTACTGAAGTGTTCAAAGTAGCCCTTTCTAAACTGTCTCCTTCAAACTTTTTGGCTAGTGGTGGTAGTCTAGCTTAACCTCCCACAACACCATCAAAGCCCAATCATAAGGTTCGATGATGAACATACTCTGAAAGGCTATAGTCTAACCACAGCATCTCCAACCTGAATCCACACTTTTGTTAGAGTGTTTGCAGCATGACTACTATTGTGAGACAACCCAGGAGCACAACACAGCATACATAGACTTTGTCTTTTAACAGTGGTTTATATACAAGACTGCTATATAGATACATACATGTGTTAGGCAAACACTTGGCAAGCAATTAATCTTCATTACTCTGCACGGAGAACTACAATGGAGATAGAACACGAGGAGAGAGAGATATGCCCTCTCAATAGTAGTAGACAGTCTAAGGTTAAAGTTTTTGGGGTTTGGGGAAAAAAACCACAGAGTCAGGTAAAGCATTCCAGACATTGACCACTCTGTTGCTGAAGTCCTATTTCCTGCAATCTAGTTTGGTGCAATTAACCTTGAGTTTGTATCTATTGTTTGCTCTTGTGTTGTTATGCTTGAAGCTGAAGCATTCATTGACAGGTAGGACATTGCAATGTATGATTTTATATACTATACTTAGATCGGACCAAAGGCGGCATAGTTCTAGGTTTTCTAGGTCTAGAATTTCGAGTCTGGTGGCATAAGGTATTCTGCAACGAGTAGAGGAGTGGAGAACTCTTCTTGTGAAATATTTCTAAACTTTCTCAACTGTGTTAATATCAGATACGTAATGTGGGTTCCAGACTGATGACCTGTATTTGAGTATTGGTCTAGCAAATGTTTTGTATGCTCTAATTATTAGTGTTATATTACCAGAGAAAAAGCAACGTAAGATTAGTTTAATAACTCTTAACACCTTTTTGGCTATGTAGTTACAGTGGGCTCTAGCACGTAGGTCATTTGAGATGAGGACTCCAAGATCCTTGACAGAGTTTGGATCATCAACAAAATCTTGACGATTCAGCCTTATTTTATTTTCTGATTTTTTTTGCCAATATGAAGGACAGAGCATTTATTTGTTGAGATTTGAAGTTGCCATTTGTTTGACCATTCTGATACATAGTCAAGGTCTTTTTGAAGGGTAGCAGTATTGTCTGTGGTGTTGAATAGCTTTACATCATCAGCGAAGAAAATGCAGTTGCTCTTGATATGATCACAGAGGTCATTTATGTAGAGTATGAAAAGAGTTGGTCCTAGAACACTGCCTTGGGGGACACCACTGTTGACAGATACAGAATTTGATAGGACGCTCCCAATTTTGACCATTTGTTGTCTGTTTGACAGGAATGCTTCTATCCAGGTATGCAGGTGTCCAGAGATACCGTAAGATTTTAGTTTTAGGAGTAGTTTGTTGTGTATCACTGAATCAAAGGCTTTACAGAAGTCTATGTAGATTGCATCTATTGCTTTGCCCTGATCGAGTTGTGTAGTCCATATGTTTTTGCAGTGTTAGAGTTGCAGATTACAGGATAGTTTTTTTCCTGAAACCAAATTGTTTATTAGAGAGTAGGTTGTTTGTTTCTAAGTGGAGGATGATGGATTGGTTAATAATTGATTCCATGACTTTACAGGTGATGCAGCATAAAGAGATTGGTCTGTAATTTTCAACTAGGCTGGGGTCTCCCTTTTTGAAGATGGGGATGACCATGGCTTGTGACCATAGTTTTGGCAAGGAGCTGGTCCTGAAAGATTTTTCAAAGATTATGCTTAGAGGTTTGGCTATGGCAGTGAGTAGCTTTTTTAAGAAGTAGGCACATATTCCGTCCGGTCCAATAGATAGAGATGGTTTAATATTGTGTAGTGCTTTTTCAACATTGTCTTCTGTAAAATCGATATGTATTAGGTCATTGTAGTTGTCTGTGGTTCGACTAGGAACTATTGGGCATGATCCATTGCTGTTTACAAATACTGAGCCAAAGAATGTGTTAAAGAGGTTGGCTTTAATAAGGTTGTCATTGCAGTCTTTACCATTAGGTCCTTTTAGGGGTGGGATGTACCTTGAGTCTTTTAGTTTGTTGTTTACAAAATTGTAGAAAGTGCGGGTGGAATTGTCGCGAAGAAGGTTTTCTTCTTGTTTAATGTGATAATTGGTGCATTCAGTTTTTATTTGGTGGCATAAATTTTTGTATCGGCTTTTGAAGTTGGCAACGTGACCAGATTTGTTTTTCCGCCAAAGTGATTTCTTTTTGGATTGAAGCTTCCTTATTGTTTGGGGTAATTTGTTTTTTTCTGGTTTTGGGAGTTGTTAATGGTACATATAGTTTGATGACTCTTTTGACTTCAAGTAAAAATATGTTGTAATGGTCTTCTACAGTATTACATCCAGAGAATAGAAATTGCCAATCAAGGGATGAGAGATTGTTGTTTATAAGATCATAGTTGCCTTTTTTGAAGTTATAATTGGGGATTCCATCGTTGTGATTATTTTTGTGTGGACGTATGTTGAGACAAAAGTCAATCATGTTGTGGTCACTGTTGGAAAAGGGTTCTTTATTTTGTATTCCATAAATTGAATTCAAACTATTGCAGAAGATGAGATCGAGGCAGATGTTAAGTCTAATGTTGTTGGTTACTCGTTGTTCTAGTCCCAGATTTGTTACTGCATTGTAGAAGGTTGCATGTGTGGGTTCAGTTGTACATTTGTTAGGGGTCCAGTTAATATGAGGTAGATTGAAGTCACCAAGAAAGATAAAAGAATGTGGACAGGATGCTGCCCATGTTAGTAGTGTATTTAGCTTGTTTGCATGTTCGATGTCATAATCAGGGGCTCTGTAACATAGTAAGAACTGAAATGTGATATTTAAGGATAGTGCACAGACGATGGTCTCAGGAATAGCAAGCTCCTGGGTAACTTGGATGTTTTTTAGATGTAAGGACTTTTTATAGAAGATAGCAACACCACCTCCTCTATGAATTTCATGATCTAATTGGTAAACATGATAGTCTCTTACTGTGGTAATGAAGTCAGGGAGAGATGTGTTGAGCCATGTTTCACAGACAAATATGATGTCAAATTAAGCCATATTTAGTAAGAGGAGAAATTCAGGTATTTTATTCACAAGGCTTCTTGCATTGAGTAGCTTGCATATAAGGCCAGCTGTAGTTGGAATTGAGGTAGTTAGGGGCGTGCGTGCCTAGTTTTGGGTGATGGTGGATTGGTTGAAGTAC